CCCTCCCTTTCCCTCTCTCTCTCCCTCCCTCTCTCTCCCCCTCCCTCCCTCTCCCTCCCTTTCCGTCCCTTTCCGTCCCTCTCCCTCCCTCTCCGGCCCTCTCCGGCCCTCTTCCTCCCACTCCCTCCCTTTCTCTGCCCCTCTCCCTCGCTTGCTGCCTCTCTGCCCTCCAATCTGAAGAATAACAATCTTTGTTCTTCACACGCCACGTGGCAGCGCGTAATAAGTTGACAGGAGGCTGAAAGGAGAGAATCTCATCCACATGAGGTAACTTTTTTGCAGCTTCGCCCGCAAAAAATGAAAAAGAAAAAAGCACAAAAGAAAGAAAAAGTATAAGGAAATGCCCTATCATATGCCGCTTCTTTCACACTAAGAAAAAGAAGAGCATGAGAGTACCGAACATTCTTGTTGATTATCTTTGCGTGTTTTGTTTTGGGAGTACTCTGGATCCCTCCAGAAAGAAGAGCCTGCATCATCGATTTTGTTTTGTGTTGTGCGAGTACTCTGGATCCCTCCGATCGGTTCCTTGCTGTTTGGATCATTATTCCTCCTATCCTACGTGGCGAGGACAGCAATTATCTCCTGAAAATTGTGGGGGCTAGGAGGTGGTCACTGCCGTCGGCGAAAGGCGGGGGAAGGCGGGAGAAGGTGGGGTTACGTCAGAAGGGCCAGTTCGCTACCCGCCTTAACCGGAGTGAAAGGTCATTATTGTTTTATCTAGACTCAAAGTTGCCCCAAATACATACAGTTGGAATGACATGTACGTTGAATTCGGGTTAAGATCGGTAGCGACAGGTCCGCTGGGGCCAATTCGCTACCCTGTTTTCTTCCCCCCCGAATACAGCGCACGGTCATCCTGGCTGTATTTAGACTGAAAGATACCGCAAATACATAATGACCGCACATTGTATTCGCGGGAAGAAGGGTAGCGACAGGTCAGCTGGCCCGATTAGCTAGAGAGAGAGAGTCCTATAAATTCATCGTAACTGATAGACAACACCAAAACAAATATAGTCCTAAAAATTCATCGCGACTGACATACAGCACCTAAACATTTGCTTAAGTTTGTTGTTAATCCTTTACATCTGTCTACTGAAATATTGTATACGAGCGTTCCCTCTTTGTGTCTCCGTGCTTTAAAAGGAAAAGCAGACGTTCTCTCTCTCTCTTTTTTTTTTTTTTTTTTTTTTTTTT